ATGTTCATTAGGTTCACAAATCCAAACTTGTATGCATTTCGCCAAAATCATCCATCGTTTTGATGAATATTATGAACCAAATTTTTCGCTAATGATATACACTATTGATCATATAGATTGGCAGTTTCGTAGTTGATTGGAGGTTACGAAATCGTTTGAATAATATAGGTTCACGATGTGATGTGATTTTTTTTACAAAATTACCCTTTGAACAGTTGTTCATAGACATCTCATTTAATACATTAATTAAATGATTATTTTTGTAGTCTCATTTAATAAGGACCGTTTGATGAGAAAATGAACGATCAAGATCAGTTAGCATAGTTTGCACAATAATTTGGGTTAGTATTTGAACCAGCCCCGAAAGAGATATATATAGGGAGCGATCAAATGAAAATCACTCCAATTTGTAAAAACCGTAAAAACTACTTTCATCCGTCGTTAATCTTATGAAATTTTTTCATGAAATTGTTAATCTTGTGAAATTGTTTCAAATAATACTTTTTTTGATGAAGTTGTTTCATATGTGGTTATGAAATTGTTTCATATACTACTTAATGAAATTTTAATGGAACTGTTTCATGTATTTCTCTAAAATTAAAATAATGAAAATGATAATATTCATGATTAACACCCTCCACAATAAAAATGGTTAATCAACCTCTCATAATTACAAAAAAATGAACAAAATGAAAAATTATGATTGGTTGAATGAGGTTTTCACGGTTTTTACAAATTGGTAGTTTATTTGAACTCACCCTTATATATATATATAGAGAGAGAGAGAGATTGGTTATTATACAACCCTTGACATTTGTGCAACCAATACAACCCAATCTCAACCGTCYATTTCATTTGATTAATATGTGATTTCATAAAAGTTTTTATTGTTTCCTAATATAAAGTATCAATCATAATTAATGAACMATACTCATCTTCTATAAATATTCAAATCATAATAAATGAAATCTCATCATTTCCATAAATATCTCAATATATTGGGTTGCATTGGTTGTACAAATGCGATGAGTTGTATTTGAACCAAACACACTCTCTCTCCATCTCTCTCTTTATATATATATATATATATATATATATATATATATACACACACACACACACACATATTATATATATACATGAGTTTGGTTCACGCGAGACTAGTCTGTTTTTGTGAGACTTGTAAGACCATTTTTTTACACTTGGAACTTCATAACAAAACGTTGTGAAGGTAAAAAAAGCCAAACTTTCACAACAAAAACACTCTGAATGTTACCTTTATAGCGTTTTGCTGTAAAGTTTCAAGTGTAAACAAGTGGTCTCACGAGTTTCACGAAAACAGGCTGGTCATACGTGATCCCAAGTCATATATATATATATATATATATATATATATATATATACACACACACACACACACACACATGGGTTGAGTTTATGTGAGATCAACCTGTTTTCGTGAGACCACTTTTTTACACTTAAAACTTCACAGCAAAACGCTGTGAAGGTAAAAAAGGCCGAATCTTCAAAACAAAAACACTCTGAAGGACATGTTACCTTTACAGCGTTTTGCTGTGAAGTTCAAATGTAAAAATAGTGGTCTAATGAGTCTAATGAAAACAGGTTGGTCTCACGTGATCCCAAGTCATATATATATATATATATATATATATATATATACACACACATAGGTGGTTTATTATATTTGGTCAACGGCTTTCCTCAGCCTCAGAGCCTCCAAAAGCTTTTTCTTGATCTGTTACAAATCATATAAATCAATCTTAACCGTCCATCTAATATGATAAATATTTGTGGTTTCCTAAACATCTCAAATTTTCAAATATAAAACGATTAATGAATTTTTATTATCTTTCATAAATATCCAAATTATAATAAATTAACCATCGTCATCTCAATTTATTGGTTTTATATGGTTTGTGTTTGACACCTCCCCCTCTCTCTCTCTCTATATCTCTCTCTCTCTCTCTCTCTCTCTCTCTCTCTCTATATATATATATATATATATATGGAAGCGTTCAAATAAAAAGCACTCAATTTATAAAAACCGTGAAAACCACATTCAACCAATCATAAATTTTCATTTTGTTCATTTTTTTGTAATTATGAGAGGTTGATTAACTATTTTTATTGTGGAAGGTGTTAATCATGGATATTATCATCTTCATTATTTTAATTTTAGAGAAATACATGAAACAGTTTCATTAAAATTTCATTAAAATTTATATGAAACAATTTCATAACCATATATGAAACAAATTCATCAAAAAAAGCATTATATGAAACAATTTCGCAAGATTAAACAATTTCATGAAAAAATTTCATAAGATTAAATAATGAAATCGACGTATGAGGGTGGTTTGTACGGTTTTTACAAATGATGGTGGTTTTCATTTGATCGCTCCTATATATATATATATATATATATATATATATTATCATGTTACAGACATTATTGTTTTAAGAAATTGATAAAAAAAAAAAAACCCCTAAAAACAAACGTTTTTCACTTGTATTGAATCATTTTAATTGGTAAAAATAGCAAAATATACGACCAGATTGATCAACCGTACCATAGTATCTCCTATTTGTGTAGAACCATACAAAATTTTCTCTGTTTATGATGATAAATTTATTACTTCTCGATTTATTAATAAAATTATCGATGTTGATGTTGTCTGCTAGGGGACCGTATGTATATATATATATATATATATATATATATATATATATATGATCGTTTTAATGATATTACTATTTTCAAGAAATCTCGAAAAACCTAAAAATAAACATTTTCATTTGACAAACTAAAACATATTAATCGGCAAAAATAGCCAAAGAATACGATTCGGTTTACAAACCGATTTGTATTAATTGTTGATTTTTTTAGAACTATACGAAAATACGGAATATGATAGATTCATATTACTAAATATTGAAAAATAACAGATAAAACTAAATTTATAAACCGCCGCCGAGGAGGGAAAATGGATACGGCGGTGGTGGTCTAACATCCGGATCGCCGGATCCGTCGCCGAAGAAAAGTGTATTACCACCGCCGCCGCCACCACCACCGGTATTGTATGCGTACCTGTTAATTCCGTTAATCGGCTCCAATTCCATGGAGAAACCACCACCATCATCGTCGACGCCGAGGCGGCCACAAGTGTCCTTATTCCACGGCCAAACCGTCGTCGACGGTGTAACCGGAGACGGCGAAGACCTCCATAACGGTTCGTTACTGCAATATCCTTCCGGTGATAAAACTATGCTTCCTTTTGCCATTTGGTAACACTCATCCTCCTCACGCTTAATCGAATTCGATATCTCGAAACTCGACGACGACGACGACGGAAACGGCGGAGGAGGAGTGATTAACCGCCGTTGTCTCTTTTTATCCACCAGCCGTTTAGATCGCTGAACCTTCTCGAGCATCATACGTGGCAAAATCTCTGGATCTTCAGCTACTTTACAAAGTAACGCCATCATTTGCTCCGGCCGTCGCTCCGTCGCCTCGAGTCGTTTGTTCATTCCGATGAGCTCCTCTTCTAGTGCCTTCTGTTCCTGTTTTAACCTCGCAATCTCCATAACCATCTCCTCTTCACCTTCATCATCCCCTCGCGAATTCGCTGTATATTTCCCCCTACTGCTATTAACTTGCCTCTTCCTTTCAATGTTCTTCAGTAAATGCACCTGTCCTCTTAAAAACCATTCGTTCGCAAACTCCCATCGATCTGGATCCACTTTTCTGAATCCCTACACATAAACACCACAAATCAATTTTCCTAAAACACACACACACACACACACAGAAATCAAATACGAACAAAATCAAATTCAAATCGCTTACGTAAGTATTGAGTTGGCGAATGAAGCTTGAGAAATTATTGTGTTTGAAGTAAGCAGGTAAGAGGCGTTGAGAGAAATCTAAAGAATCAACGACGATGAAGCTATTGTTGGAGGTTCCCCACCGGATTAGATTATCCAAAGAAGAATCGTTGACCATCTGATACGTCTTCATAACGAAAGGTGCGATTACTTCGTTAGATTCCATGATTTCATGAACATAACGAATCGAATTGATCAGCTGAATTTGTTCTTCAATTCCAGTCGCTTGATGATATGAACCAGAAACCAATCAGAGACGATGAGTGTGTGTGTTAGTATCTGTGATTGATTTCACAAATTTGATTCGATGATGAATCACGATGTTAATATATGAAGGGACCACTTTCTTTTTTGGGCCGTTATATAATATACTTTACCAATTAAATTGCAAAATTCAAGTATATTATCATAGGGTTGGGTTCACGTGAAAGCAATCTGTTTTCATAAGATCACTTTTTTATACTTGAATTTCACAGCAAAATGTTGCGAAGGTAAAAAAAAGTCAAACATATATAACGTTTTGCTGTGAAGTTTCAAGTGTGAAAAAATGGTCTCAAGGAAACATGTTGGTCTTACGTGATCCCTAGTCTACTGTTATATAAACCATATAAATCAATTAATTAAGATATGTATAAAAATGATCGGAGTTTATTTATTATGATTTGAATATTTATGAAAAATTATCAAAGTTCATTTATTTATGATCAATATTTTATATTAGTAAACAATCGAGATATTAATTGGATTGGATATTTATTAAACTAGATGAACGGTTGATGTTGGTTTGTATTAATGGATGGATATATAAATGAAACCACATCTACTGTTACGTACATCTAGGGGGTGTTTGGTTAGAGGTATTAAGCAGTAATCAATGAGAATGAAAATAAAGGAAACTGTTTGGTCTTATATAATATAATGGGCACATTTCCTCAGAAGCTCAAATTTTCATTCCAGATTAAATTGTGGGGAATGAAAATTCATTTCCTGTCATTTTTCATTTTCATCCCCCAGCATGAACCAAACAGTATCTCCTACTACTTCTATAAAATGAAGAAAAAAAAATTAGGGGGTGTTTGGTTCAGTCAGAGAAATAAACATGAGAACAGAAATGAAAATGAATGAATTTTCATTCCCCCCATTTTAATCTGGAATCAAAATTTAGGCTTCTAGGGAAATGAAGCCATTATATTGTATAAAACCAAACTGTTTCTTTTATTTTTCATTCTGATTGATTACTGTCTACTATATCTAACCAAACACCCCCTTAGGTCTTGTTTGGTTTATATGGTTGGAATGGATTTGGAGGGATTTGTAATTGAATTAGTGTGAAATTCCATATTCCGGTTGAAATATTTTATATATTTGAAATCCTACAAACATAGGATTTCAAAATCCCGTAGGGGAATAGGTATTTCATGGGATTTGTAAATACCAGTGTTTTAGAAAAAATATGTTAAAAACACTGGTTTTGTAATATGTAATTAATAAGAAGATTATTTAAATATCTGTAATTTGTTTTTATAAATAATGGAATTTAATTCTATTTGAAATCTTACAAAACAAACACACCAAAGATTCTAAATCATTCCAAATCCAAATCACTCCAATCCCAAATCCTACAAAAGATTTGGAATTGAAGGGATTTGGATTTAGATTTGGAATTTTTCTCGTGTTTGGTTTGTAGGATTTAATTTTTAATTAATAATTTATAAAAATAATTACAATCTTAACATAACAAGTATACAAATCACTCCCATGAGATTTCAAAATTTTATGTTTGTGGAATTTCAATGAAATCTTAGGATTTTAAATTCAAGAAATCTTTTAAACCGAACGTGATATTTGTATGAAATTCGGTTCCAATTTTCTCAAATTTCAATCCAATCTGATCCCACAAACAAAACCCTACCGTAGAGCTTTTTAGTTTTGGGCAAATTGAATGAAAAAATTATGTAATTTTAACTTAATTCATATTTTGGGGTAACGTACTTTTCAAAACTTCCGTTTTGATACCTAAGATGTAAAGTTTTAAACAGTTAAGTACTCGGGTAACCGGTTGAAGAGTAATTTCAGATTAAAAAATTAATGTCACTAATCACATCTGCAAATAATACTGAGTTAGATACCACATCAGCATGATAACCGGTTAATGCTTTAACCGATTATCCGGGTACTTAAACGTTTAAAACTTTAAACCTTAGGTACCAAAATGAAAGTTTTGAAAATGCGTTATACAAAATAGGAATAAAGTTAAAGTATGTTATTTTTTCATGCAATCTACCATTTAGTTTTTGCACTACAATAGCTTTTCCAAAAAAGAGAAAATAGGATGGTGATTTTGTTCTCAAAATTAAATATTTTAGTAATATAATTAATATTAAAATCTACAGAATGAAGAAACTGTTGAAGCTAACTGTTAATTTTTTTTCTCTATTCTAACCTTTTTTCTATCTGTTTTAGAGGAATTCAGTATAAACTATTGAACATGCTCTTATAATGATTTTTTATACTTTTTGAAGTATAAATTATTCATATATGTCAAATATTATGGCAAACTATCTACTTTTGATTAGCATCAGAAAAACCGAGTTGTACTGATATCTCCAGATACTGATTATTTGAAATATGCGTGTGCAAAACCCGAATTATCCAAAATTAGAACCCAACCCGAGTCAAAAATAAGGTATTTATGTAAAACCAGAATACCCCAAAATCCGAAAATCGACTTTTCCGGGAAAATTTGAGTTCAGGTTGGGTTTGATTTTTGGCCACCGATATGTCCGAAACTCCGAAATATATATAAATATACTTATTTATTTACTTATTTTTTGAAAATTATAAATATCTTAGGGGTCGTTTACCAATCACCTACCTGATAAGTGCTTAACGGTAAAATTTAACACTATTATTTACTTCTCAGTTAAGATATTAGTCCACAAAAACGGTATCATATGCAACAATTTACCCCGTAAACGCTTACCGTGGTAAGAATCGTCGCTCTCACTTACCGGGTAAGACTTTTGGTTCTTGGCTCGCTCTTAGCGGGTAAGATTCTAGGTTCTTACCATAATAATCCGATAAGGTAATATGACTTGGTGTTCACTTACCCAAGTAAACGTTTGGTAAACGGCTCCTTAGTCGATTATGTTTTTATCTAATTTCTAAGCATACTATCAATTTATCAATCCTCTAAATCAATTGAATTCATCGTCAAAATCAATTGGATATATATAAATTCTGCATTATAACTGAACCCGAACCCGCAGCAATCCGAAATCCAAAATCCAAAAATCAGGGCTTGCTTTTCATATCCAAAATTCGATCGGGTTTTTCATTTTCCCACCCGAACCCGTCTGTCCCGCCCAGTGCACACCCCTAGTTTAAAAGTTTTTTTTACAAATTGAACTAATTTTTTTCTTCCATTTTTAATAATTAAATATCTCATTTGATCCTTAAGGTATCGTTTGGTACGCATACTGGATATGACAAGACCGGACTGGATAGTACAAAATTGTCTGTCTTACGTTTGGTACGACTAAAACAGGACTGGACAAAACTTTTAAAATGACCAGATTGTCCTAAATAAATCTTAAATCATCAAAACTGGACTGGACAGTACTAAATTGTATGTCCTACTTTATCCTATGTTTTTTTCCATGATATACCCAGGGCCGGCCCTGGCCACGTGCAGCCCGTGCGGCCGTACAGAGCATCAAAGCCTAAAGGGACATCAAGTTGTCATCTATTACTAGTTTTGGGTTTAATAGTTTGGGAATTGGGCAACTGAGTTTTAACTATAAAGTTATCTGTATGAATTCATCTATTTGTATAAGTTGGAAAAGTTTTTGTTTGGGAGAGTTTTTTAACATATGTAAGGAGCGTGTTTTTAGTTGGAAGGGACGTGTTTGGGAAGAAAAACTTGACTTTCTATATAAAGTTTCCCCTAGAAGCTTACCGGATAAGTCACTTTCTATATCATTAAGCCACTACGAAACAGTCATGCATAGTTGAGCGAATAAGTTTTAAGCTTATTAAGCTGCTAAACAGATAGGTTCTTAGCCTTTAGTTATTGACCTATAACATTCGAGTTTTACTTTTTACTTAATATGACAGTAATTTGGATGTAATTTACTATTTTAGTTAAAAATTAATAGTTTTCCTTATCTTTTAAGTCTCATATATTGAAATAAAGTTTCTATTTTGCTAATTTCAATTTGAAAATGGTAAAACTGGAAAAGAAGGAAACATAATCTTAATCCAGGATTTATCCTTTTATCATTCTATATTTTGTATTTTTTTTTGGTTTTTATTCCCCCCCTAATTGTATTTTTTATTATAATTAATAAAAATCAACATGAAGATGATAAACTTAGTTTGAATATGTTCTAAACTCTTTAAAAAATCGAATGTTTCGTTGTTTCATTGGCTTAAAAAAAAGACTTAGGGGCATTTTTTATTATTTTCGCACAGGGCATCAAAAATCTTAGAACCGGCCCTGGATATACCAAACATGAGACTTTTTTTTTTTGTCTCGTTCCGTCTCATGTAATCTGCATACCAAACGCACCCAAAAAAATTAAAATAGCAGTACCATAATTTATAATAAAAAATTAATATGACCTTTAATTAAAAAATAAAATTAAAAATATTTTTTATTTTTATGACAGGACCACTTGTGGCAAGTGTGTGTGATTGCGTGGCCGCTAGGATATTTTGATGGGTGTGGGCTCCACTTTGGCGTTTTTATAAAGGAATTTGAATTTTATGCTTGATGGAGTTTTATATATCAAAAATATGCTTCAATGTCTTTTTTATTAGAAAACTATCTATCTCGTTCAGTCTTACGAAAAGTTTTGTATATAAAAAACCCACAAATATATGCCTCGATATCGTTATGAAGTAGTAACTGATGTTCAAGATGAGTAGACCCGACACTATCAAAGCCATTTGGATTCGGTAGATATTTTGATAACAGTGGTACTCGATCTGTTCGACATTTGCTCAACAGTGGTTTCAACGTATTAATACCCTTTTTTTTCCTTTCACACGATCCATCGTAGTTTTGGTTCATTTTATCTTACGAGATTTTCATACTGTTGTAATGTAAGAAGTTCTCTTTACGATCTTTAGCATGTCTACGTACAACCAAAGAAAAGTATAGTTATGTGTCGCATCATATAGGTTAAAATTGCTATAGGGTACTGGTTACTCTGATTGTAACAACTCATTTTGATCTAAGTCGCTATTGTCGTCATCGT